TTTCACCGCTGCCCGACCGACTTTGCATGAAGGAAGAGAAATCGCGTTAGTGGTTCACATTAGGGCTTGTAAGTGGTTCATATTAGGGTGCTTGCTACCCAAGCACCCAGTTAGGGTGCTTGTAAGTGGTTCACATGGAACGTTATTATATATTATATTATATATTATATCTTATATATATTAGTCCACTGAGTATATGAATGCGTGGTGCAGGTTCCGGCAGGTATATGCGAGTATAGTTTCGACCACACCTAAAGCGTTAGCAGGTAGATATTCTGGAGCTGTAGGATACAGTGGATAAATGATTATTGTGGGGTAGCAAACATCTCACTCTTCATCTTTGTGACTGTCAACTCTAGAGTTGATCGTTTCTGCTAAGGAACATCATTAACGTTCATCGATTTTTAATTATACACAGAAAATATGATAAAAGTCTAAAATTGTTCATCGTTTCCTGCGACTTATTACCAAATTGTACAATATAGATAAAACATTATAATATTCCAACGCTGTTATTCTATACAAAATAATGCAGTGATAGCGTATAGGTAGGATTTTTCAACGCAAACTCCATGTAGCGCTGGACAGTATAAATAATATTAAACGCACATTGGAGGCCACAGATGCCGAGTCCTTATAGAGATAAATGTTGTTAAAGTTAGATTCCTATTTAGCTTTGGTTTGCCGGGCGTCTCTGAGTGCCAAACAATACGCTACATATAGTACCAAGTTCAGACTCGGCTGCGAGAGAGTGATCAAGCGTCCAACTGTCCGTACGGACCATCTTATGGTCTAACTTTAGCTATTATTGCTTCGATCAGGCAGACTATAAAATAAGAAACTTCTGTTCAATCAGAGGAATCAGCAATACTCCTCAGTCAGTCGGAACTTTGAGCCTCCCTTGTAGGACAGAAGTCTCTATCTGTCCAGATAATGCTTGCTTCGGAGTAACAACCTATTTCAATGCATTGTTGTTGCCGCTATTAAGATTGGTGTTACGTACATCACGCGTACTTACATGTTCTCGTCTTGTTGGCATTATTGAGACTGGCGTTACGTAAATCACGTGTACTTTCATGCGGTCTTCTTAATGGGAGAACAACTAATTATACACGGCCAACATTTCTCATGCAATATACATTACATTCAATACAAATATATACATTGAATACTGCGGTAAAATTGATCGCAGTTACCCTGATCAATTCGTTTTTACGTGAAAGTTACAATAAGAAGTTATTTAACCAAAGTGACATTTTATTCACTGTCGTATCGCTACGAGATGAAGAGATCAGAATGCGTGCAGAATAAATAACTGAATGAATCTCGTACTAAAATGTAACATAATCAACTATCAACATAATTTTATTGATTTCTGGTTAAATTGTAATCGTAGTAAATAGAAAAAGTTTTAATGATTGACAGGAGAAGTTTAATCGACAGATATTATAGAATCACAATGTAATGTTTTATACGATTTCTCATCCAAATCCTCTAAGGAACGCTAGTGATTGGAGAATGACTTAGGGGGACCAGCGAATATAATTCCAGCATCAACCCAACCTTTAATTTGAAGAACATTTTACGAAGATATCAAATCATATGTACTGGTTCAAGATTTTGAACATTCTCAGTTTGGGACTAAATATGACATATAGTTATTCTGTGTGACACTTTACATTTCCTTATCGAAATCATATATTATCGACAACTTTCAATTTTCGTAACCTGAAGTATTCTTTGGTAAATGCACTTTACCAATTTGCAATTTAAAAGCCCATACTCTTTACAATGATTATCGTTCATGTGAAATTAAATTTCGCAATTTATCCATCAAAGAATATTTTCTGCCTCGAAATCCTAAACAGCGTAAAACCGAGTCACTTAAACCGCATATTGCACATAATGTGATCCGTTATGGTCTGAACCGATGCAGACGACGCAGTCCGTTGATCGTGCTCACTGTAATGATATATTTGATTCTCAACAATGCACTTACTTCAGTCTCGCTACTTTCCAGGACTGAGTAAATCCCAACTCCGGGGTATCCAAAACTACTACCAACTTTCGACTCTCTACCGCCACAGACAGAAAAACTTCTTAATCTCTAACGCCCAAGTCAGTATATCTTCTGACGCTCTACCGACCATGACAAAATAACATCTGAATCTCTATTGCACAATACGGTACAACTTCTAACTGTCTGCCGTCCAATGCAATATTACTTTTACCTCTCTACAGCGCAAGACAGAATAACTTCTGACTCTAAACCACTTAGAAGTGGTCGAGAGTCAGAAGATTAAGGAAGGAAGAATACTGAAGTCAACAACTTCCCCTTACCTACTTAGTGAATATCAAGAAGTAGGAAACTGCTCACTCGATCGTCCAGACTCCATGATGGCTAAGTTGATTTCTAACTAAATTGTCCATAGACATTTTGTGGCCTAAATTTGCTACAAGCAAACTTGAATATATTGTAGGAGAGAAGTCATGTGCACGGAGCTCATAAGCGGTCGCTGTTTCGTCGATGTATGACCTACAGTGTTCCAAATGTCAGAGTAAGCTCTTGCGTTCGCCGGTTATGCATTTCATTATTCAAACCGAGACAGGTACGAATTATACATCAGGTCTGCTCCATGATCTAAAGCGAGTATTCAGGGATAATTCTTTTTTACATTTTGCTACTAATGTGATAGACAATATTTTTCTGTCAATTACGATTAGATGTTCAGCGAGTATAGATGTTCAGCGAGTATAGACGTTCCGGTACATCGTACTGACAAGGGCAGGTGCCTTTGTACGTGAACTATTTATGCGTATCAAACTGACTCGTGTCCCACATCTTTATCGAAATTCTCGGCTACTTGCGGCTGTACCTATTGGTAATACGAGCATCTAAACTTATTTATTGTGTAAGGATAATTAGAAGCCATGCTAAAACAAACTGTTTTAAATTACAATTATTATCAAACTACCTCTTGTAAAATTTCGAATGTTTGGTTAATTTCGTTAAGTTAGATGTTTTTTCACGGATATTTTGTTCAAATTGGGGATGGTTAATAGACAAAATCATGCAGCAGATGGAGGTAAAATTGTGAGAGGGAACGAGGCCGCGGCGGGTCAGAGGGCGGGCGGCTCCAAGTCTCCTCTTTCAAGGTTGTTTTGATAACAATAATTGTTGTTTTTTGTTGATGCTGTTACCGCTGTGGTTATTGCTGCGACGCTGCTGTTTTTGCTCATGCTGTTGCCGATATGGTTATTATTGCTGATACTGCTGTGTGAGCTCATGATGTGGTCGCTATATTTGTTGAATATTATGTTGTGTGAACTCTTAATTGCGTTTGTTGATAAGGTTGTTGACTACGAGGTTGAAGTTGATCCCGTTCTGATGTTTTAGAACTACAGTTCCATATAAATATTTTTTTATTTGTTCTTCTGCTTTCATATTCGTTACAACCTCTTCGTGGGATAAGACGTTGTTATTCTTATAAGACGTTGTATATATTCTTATAAGATAAGACGTTGTTATTCTTGCAACTCAACAGTTAATACACTAAGGATAAAACACACCTGCCGGGACACGGATGTCGATATCACTCCCTAAAACTAAGGTAGCTCATATTGATAGGTATCTTAAGCGTTGATGACGATGCGCGCTTTCCTCTCAACAGTACCAATGCTAATCATCGGAAACGTGAAAGTCTTTAAATATATAAGTGAATCGCTATGCTTAATATTTGACTCTTCTAACACGTAGGAAATCAATCGATTGACACACGATTAATAATTTTCATGAAATATGTACGCAATCAAGTAATTATTCCTTATTGCTCGCAGATATTTACAGATTTTGAACAAAAAATAAGTGAATAAAAAAACATTTTCATATTATAACACTCTAGCCAGAACGAATTAATTCTATAAAATAAATTTCCGCTACACATGCTCATGATTGGGGTAAGTTCAGTAGATGATTAATTCATATAATCATATTTAAGTGTTCAGTATTGCACTGAGAAAAAGTTTGTGCGAAGATTTGTGACGCTGCGAGTTATAATAAACGCCTTGACCTGAGACTGGCAGCTGCCGTGGAGCCACGACAAATATCGTCGGCCTATTATTGGTATTCTCTCGGCCACCAAATATACCTCCGTGATTCTAAAGGATTTTCAGCGTTGTCCTGAAGGCATGCTAAACCCACACCGTACATCGGGTCAAGGTGTCTTTTCTAATCCACGTAAATAGGGACCTGTGACGCGAGTTGTCGAGCCTACGTGTATCTTTCATGCTGAAAATCGGAGGAGGTTCATGAGACAACAGATGAATTTCCGACGTCGACCGATGCTGATTTAGCTATTATTTACATTATATGCAGGATAACGAGAATAATAATGTATTGATAATATGCATTGATAATATGCAGGATAACGAGAATATGCACGCAAGATTTTTAAATGCCGAAATTGTTATTATTGATTAGAAGATTTCATGTTCGAAAATTTGTTTGTAGATTGTGGACTAGGTTGTATTAAGCCAGAATTGCAACACGTACCGAAACGTCTGACCCTGCCATTTTTATTATAGACAGACAAGAAAATATCTGCCCGACACCTCGGGTGCATAATTCCTAGCTCAACAACACGCGCACGAACTTAGGACGAAGCTAAATAGCAATGTTTATACAGTATTTTCATTCAGGACACAGCGTGATGCCAAAAGTGAATGCTTGACAGATTCTCTTATCAGAGGTCTGAGAAAACAATGAATAGCAATACGACCCAGCGCGTCTTTAATTTCCTTCAAATTCCGTTCGCTTTTGACCAAATAAAAAAGCGCCAAAAGCGTAATATTTTGCCGACAAACTTCATTTTGAAAGAGGAGAGCTTTTTATACCTGCGACAATATAGGTTCTTGTAAACAAAAACAATCTCATTCATGAATTACTAAACTCATGCATTTAATTTCAGTTAGCTCCTTAAAATGAGATTTATTGTACTCACGTGTCCTCAGAAGTGCTTCTGGAGCTGGCCAGAGTCACCTGACTCTCCGCTTTGTTGGGCTTGACGGGATCAGGCATACCGCCTCATAGGCAGTAACTGTTTCTAAGCACTGTACTATAGACTGGACAACTTTGCTGTTCGTGATACTGGGCTGAGACGGCACGAGCTTTGCGACAGACTGTACAGCTAGAAGATCACAAGGAGGAGTCAGTTAGTGGAGCTTCCAAAGACGCCTATTTCATGCTGTCAACCAACATGGAGAAGAGTTAGAGCGTTGCATGCATAAACTCAAACCCGAAACTTTCCATAAATTCAGCATGAAGGAATAATCTATGAGCGTGAAATAAGCGTTGGCAATATTTACCCCAACGTACGAAATTAGTTAATGAAATTCAAGCGATGGAAGATAGATATGAAACAATTGTATTCCAAAAGAAAAAGGCGACTACAACCACAAAATAATACAGAAATCCCTAGGTCAAAAATGGTGTAAATAAAGAGCAAATACTTGATTACAGAGTTAATACAATGGAAAGAACAGTCAAGCTTTAAAAAATTATCTAAATTTTATTAATTTACGCCTTCCGTATTGAGCAGTCACGACCATCCAAAGTCAAACTCGTACATGAATATGAGTATTTTTTGAGTAATAAGTACAGCGATGTTAATCATTCAATTTGTGTTTCGACAGTGCAATAAAACCGTTGAATAGAGGCTAAATGTTTAGCATCGATACAAATTACTCAACTTTGGAAAAGCTGCATTCATTTCACAGGATTTGTAAAGAGAAAGTACCAAGTATTACACGAAGCTGCAGTTAGCGAAAATTGTGCGTGCTCGAGAAGAAGGCTCTCGTCACAATATGCTACGATCGTTCGACAAATTTAGAATAAGGCTACACTCCATCAATGAAATACAATGTAAAGTCACGAAAAAATTATTTATAAAACGCAATAAGAAAGGCAGGTTAATGTTAATCCCATGTTGCTTTATCTATATTCGAAAATTTTGGTCTCATTTGACGCTTTTCAACAGCATTCATAAATCTTGATAAGCATAAAGAGGATGAGGACTGTGGAGATGGCGGTGTAACAGAGCTCTATGGTAACGAGCTTTTGAGACGTGCTGGGTTTCAGTTCTGTATTGAAGTCATACATCGTGGCGGTGATATGAGCACCTTATAACGAGACTATTCCTGTGGCGAAACGATCGCGTTAGGGGGGGGTGATATGAACAACACCTTATAACGAGACGATCCCAGTGACGAAACGATCGAGTTAGGGTGTTGCAGTGCGACTGAAATAGCTCGAAGAATATAGCGTTGACGCTGTAAGAGGGAATGAACAACGCAAACTCCGGGATTCTCGAAGAGGCAAATATTAAGATAAATTTTGTAATAACGGAAAATTCATGAATATAATAATTTTGAATGAGAATTGGCCAAAAAAAAATCTGAAATTTTAGATTATACAAGTATCAATTCGTATAAAATAAAAAGATTTTAAATAAAGAAAATTTCAGAGCCATAACCTTGAGAAGAAGGAACAACGTAACTTTGTAATTTGCCGATTTACCGTTGTCAGGTGAAACTAAAAAAAAATCGGCGTTTGAGTAAATGTAGCTAAGCAACATTCGCTGCGTAACTCCGGTCCAGCTGCAAGACTACGTCGTACAATCAACGTCTGAGCGGCTCGGTAGAAAGTTCTCCGCTGGACGACTGGCCTAGAGCTCACACATGAAAGTGAGAGCTGTCGGTCTGGTCTTGGGAAACGGCAAGCGATTGAAGAGAAACAGTCACATGAAACTTAAAGACGTGAATTTTATAATATACTGAACTCTTATTTCGAGGAAAGTGAACGCTAGAAGGAAGAATAGCTTTGTACCCTCAATGAGAGCAGTCAAGTTTGAGAAAAAATTAACAAATAACGAATCAAGAGGAAATTCCAATCCACTTTCAAAGAAGAATGATAACCAATACAATAAATTCGGTAAGAAAAAGATCACCTTGGAAAAAAAAATTCAGAAGTATAATACCGGAGTTCAGGAGGCCGTGATCCCCAAGAAGATGAATGAGACAAGTTTCCTAATTACCAAAGTTTGGAACAGAGATGATAAGGAAAGTGTAAGACGTTTAAAGAACTTAGCAGTGCTCGCTGCGTCGTTTGCAAAGTGTCAGAATATCTAGCGCTGTAAAAATAAAAGAGACAGGGCTATTGAAGGTGGTGCTTTTGTTCGTCAGTTAAGAACTACACTCTTGAGTAATTTAAAATAAAACTATTAAAATTATGTTCATTTTAAAATGTAGGATGATGAATCAATTTTTAACAATGGAATTCAAACTAAATTACGCCGTGCACGTATGTTGTGAAACTGATAGTTTTTTAGTTTCACAGCATACAAGGCAGCCGTACGAATTATTATAGTTGCCAAAGAGACAGTCGAGTTGCTCACTAACTGTAGGAACTTCGTGCATTCTGCACTGGGGCGAATAGCCCGATGTTGAAACAAGATTATTTAGGATATTTAAACAGGTATAATTCTTCTAATATCGAGAGCAAATATGAGTTGGATGTCACTTTATACTTCCACTGTCCAGAATTCAGAAATTCGATATCAATAAATGTTTTCGTTTTTAAATTCTCGCATAATCGGATATATGATAATAGCAAGCTTTCAACCAATTCATCATCCCACGGGTTTCTAGAATAATAGACAAGAACATGTTATCTCAGTTGAGCGAACTGACAATTTTAAATTCGTTCTTAAAACACCGAGGGTTTAAAAAGAATTTCTACCAATTCCACAAGATTTAAATCGGACACTTTAACAAGGCAGAACTAAGTCTCAAACCATCCTAACAGCATAAGCTCATTCTCAGCCTCATTTCATAGAGAACCTATACAATTACAGAGTATATTGGCCATGGTAATTAGTGCCAGTACGTTTCCCCCTATTTGTTCTCATATGATTGGTTCAGCACATAAACGTTCTATGGCAACAGGTGCGCATGGTTCTCAATTATCCTTCAGTTACGAGTCCCTGTGCAGGGAATGCATAATTCAGTCATTAACCAACATGCAGTGGTGAAAAAGTGGAGCCACGCCGGTCAGTTAAAAGCACAATAGGTTAAACAACGATAGGATGGTAGTTCCAGGTAACGGCGAGCAAGCGGAGCGATGGAGCACTAGTGCACTACCTCTCTACCAGACTGCCAGCTCGCTACTGACAGGGGGTCGCGCGTGCCAAACCATTTTCAACATCAGCTTGCTTTGTTTACATCGAGAAACGCGCGCATTGAAGCTTGGAATGCTTTCCGCAAAATATGAACAGAGCCTTCGATTTTGTTAATGTAATTTTTTAAAGCATCATCATCTCGCTTATTCATCAGATTACAAATCTGAAGAAGAACCACAAAAAATTCAGCGGAATATGGTTTGATAAACAGTTGTTTTAACAGAATAACATATTAATATGAATAAAACAACCTCACGCAAATCAATAGCATTGACGCATTTTCTGTTATGATCAAAAAATATCTTTTCATATGAAATTTATGAAGAACTCTGTTTAAATTTATGATTCTCAGCAGCGAACTTATATTTTAATAATATTTATTGAATATTTAGCACACAATATGCACACAAAATTTAGCACACAATACGAACCCTTCACGGTAGGAAGGCACTGCTTCTGCAGACAAGTAAGGAGAGAAACCTGTAATATAATTATTATATTATTATTATTATTATTATTATTATTATTATTATTATTATTATTACGATATTATTAGGACACTGATACGGGCTCAGCTTTCAAGAGCTATGCTGAAATATTAATTTGAACTAAAGAACTAGAGATAAAATTATCACTCCGGTAACCTCGAGATCGCGATAGAGTGAGCAAAGTCGATAAGGATTTTCAAAATACGATTTTGATTTTTTCATTTAACATTTACACCCTGGTAATTGAATTAAATCAATGAATTTAAAAATACTTCCTTCACATAACAAAAAATATAACTCAGTACTCACTGTAGTAAGCGACAGAGAGCGCATTTTCTCATCGACGAAAACGTGAAGTCACGGACGGACAGACAGACAGACGGACAAACCGACGGACGGACGAACATGGCTAGCACAATAGTGCATTTTTTCATAAATGAGAAAATGCGCTAAAAACAGCGTGTATATGTATGGTAATGAACTACACGATCAAGTATAAGTTTAATGAATGTAATGAAGAGATCATTGTCCGGCATGAAGACAATGAGCGCGTAACGATACAGATAATAGTGCCCTTATATATCGGCTTGTAGTCCGCAATTGCTGATGTATGGTCAACAGTTGAAATACGTAATAAGCTGCAGTAGATTAATTTAGCGGATGTAGTATTCAACGCGTAGCGTATTTTGTCAACTTTATTCGCAGAAACCTTTTGAGTGCTGTGCTTCTTCGATAAATATTTGCAAAATTCCATACGTAATCGTAAAACGCCGTTTACATAAATAGCGTTTATTTAATCTTATATTCATCAGAAAACACAAAGCCTATGCGTAAAACGCTGACTCTGAGATTGATGCAGCTTGATTGCAACGAACTTCGTTCATTGGAGTCGCGTGCGAACTCTTGAACCTTTGCACGTAGTGAACAATTTGTCAATGTTGTGATAATTACAGAAGCCTGGGAAGCTCTGCTTTTACTGGAAGAGCAGGTTGAGGAGCCACATTTTGGCCTGCAACAATCGTGGAAATTAAACTTGGCAGCAAGGAAATAGTAAGCTTCGAATTGAGCTTCAAAAACATAAAGAAGTCATTAAATTTTGCTTCAGATAAGCAATTTTTTGCTTTCTAAAATATAAATGAAAATCATGTAAATTAAACTTGGCAGCAAGGAAATAGTAAACTTTGAACTGAGGTTCAAAAACATAAAGAAGTCATTAAATTTTGCTTGAAAATAAGCAATTCTTTGCTTTCTAAAATATAAATGAAAATCATTGAAATTAAATCTGTCAGGAAACAATAGCAAGCCATAAACTTAGGTTCATGACAAAAAACTAACAAAATTCACTTAAACTAACGAATTCTTAGCTTCCTAAAATATTTTCTCATATAACGTCGGAGTAATCCATTGATGCAACAGAACGAATCACTCTAACAAGAAACACAGAGATGTCACTGCGCCACCAAACCATACATAGAAGAATATAGTTGTTGTATCTTGACGAGGAGGTCCGGTTTTATGACTAATAAGAAAATATTAGTTATAATTTATAAGTCAAACAAGTAACTGGAAGAAAAATCTGGACGAACTCGCATGAAAGATAGAGAAAAAAAATGATTTTTTTTTCTCACCGCAGCTTCACTATACAATTTTAAGAATTTAGTACATTCCAAGAACACGCAAAAGACTTCTACTTATAATCAAAGTAATATAATACTACCTATAATATAAACTCTGCTTATAATCAAAGTAACCGTTAATATATTCGTTAAGTTGTCACAATTCTATTTCGATGTAGTACTTGTATGACTTCTGAAGGAACACTGGACATCTGAAGGCATAACAGTTAACAATGCTATGTTTTTTAACTTTGATTCTGGCTAAATTTCGCAAGTATTGTGCAGATCAATTAAAAGGAAGAATTAGTCGGAGAACTCCACTGCGAAATTGATAGAATGCTTAAATGATATTACCATGTGTTGTTTCATCCGATGAATTCATCTCTTCGAGCTCTGTGAATCATATTTTAGTCTCTATTTGCTTGATTAATCACATTTTCTTTGGTGCGAAATTTCTTTGCTACCATATATTTAATACACGTTCAGCTTGAATGTTGTTAAGCCATACCAAAGTAACAAATGATATGGGCCTATCAATAGTAATTCATAATATTTCCAAATTAAGAAGGTCGTAATTGAGCCTAAATACAAGCAATTCTAGCAGATTGTAATTTTAGCAGCTTGACACCGGACACTTACGCATAACTATTTCTTGCGTTTTGTACGGACATTTTTTTTCAAATTTCACTCCGTTCACAAAAATATCAATCTAATTAAATAAAGTTCAAACTGTCTTGATTTTTTCATTCAGAACGCGTCAGTTGAATATCAAACAGCCGTTTTCATCACATGCATGATATATTATAAATTCTAAAGACCACTGTCAACATAAAAAGACTAATAGGATTTTCTTCTCAGGGCCTGTATAGCTTCTGCTGAATAAAAACAAGTTCAATTCTTCATTGCTTCGTTTTGTTTTTCGAGTTAAAATCTAATGACTTACTGTAATATATTCAGTGATATAGTGCGTGTGCACAGTCGACACTTTTTCGAAAGTGAAAACTTTCATTTCGCTTGCAGCAAATTTCGCGCATCAGTGTCATCCGAATGATTACATGGCTGAGCTTCTCGGAAATCT